ATAATCTCTCTCTCTCTTTTTCTCTCTCGGCAGATTAAGGTGGTGGCTTGATTCTTCGCCACCACAGGACAGGAATAACTCTCAATGGAAATGACTCCTATTCTACAGGAGAATAAAATCCTCTATTTATATACAAAACAGGTAGAGGGCTGACAAAAGCAGGGCATGCTTCTTTACACCACTCAGCCAGTGTGCCATCCCCCTGACCATGACTGGGGGCGGGGGGGGGGGAGTCCCCATAACCAGTTCAAGCAATCACAGAGCTGTAAATTTTTAAACTTCACACTAACTAAGTGAGCTGTAGCTCACGAAAGCTCATGCTCAAATAAATTGGTTAGTCTCTAAGGTGCCACAAGTCCTCCTTTTCTTTTTGCGAATACAGACTAACACGGCTGTTCCTCTGAAACCTAACTAAACTGTGTGTACTGTATCTATAAGGTGGATTTTCTTCTCACTCTCGCATTTGCATTTGACCTGACAAATCAGGATGAACATTGGAAAAAGGAATATTATTTCTGGATGAAGGATTTGGGGATGGCAATATTAATGTTGTCTGTATTTGGGAATCATCTGGTTAACATATAGTTTGCACCTTGGTATGCCATCGATTCTGCCACCCTTATTCGTGTTGAGTAGTATCTTACACTACCAATTGTCCCATTGAAATTAATTATTTTTAGGTGCTCAGAGCTTCTGTATGGATAAAATTGTTGTTAAATCTAAAGAAATAAAATGAAATAAAATACAACAGTACTAAGGTAATGGAATTAAAAGTGGCAGAATCTGACCCTTATTTTCCATTTTGATATCACAGAACCTAAAATAATTGACTAGGAAGAAAGAGAGACAAAAAAATGATGAAGACGTGCAGGAATCAAATTACAGAATTATTATGATTAATTATTATCATCATTTATACTATGGCAGCACCCAAATGCCCCAATTAGTGTGGTGTTCTACTGTGCTGAGCACTATACAAACATAAAAAAGAGACAATCTTTGACCCGAAGGGCTTCCAGTCTAAAGGTACAAACAGACACAGGGCAGGGACAAATGAACCTAGTAAAGAATTGGCACGCTTTGTTAGATACTTAGATTGTATTTTTCTTTTAATTGGGATAGAGGTAGGGAGGAAGAAAGTAGGAAAAGGAAAGAAGGGGAAGAGTAATAGTCACATGGATATCATTCTTAGTGTGATCAACTAAGGAAAATGGATACCAGACCTTTACATATTTCTTATCAATATTTCTGAAACGTGATTCTCTTTAAAACTTAACATGCTAGTCTAATAACTGTGGTATAAAGAATTACTTAGAAACAATTATGATGCCATCACAGATGCTGTGATATGGAAATATTCCTCTGGCCTGTGTATGCATTAACTTAACTTAAAGCACATGCATAGGTCTTTGCAGGATCAAGGCCTTATTTTGTAAGAGAAAATCGAAACCATCTGATATATGTAAGATTACAAAATATAGCCTTGTGGATATATTTTAATATTGTGGCTGCAAAACTGTAAAAGGTGAGTTGTAGTAATGGAATTCTTTAAGATATACATTTTTGAGCTAGCAGACATCTTCACATATTGTCAGTTTAACATACACATGTGCACACACACACATATTAGTCTTAACTGTTTGCTTGAAGTTGGTTGTTTCTCAGCTTAGGCATTAAAATTCAGTCTGAGTGCTGTCTTTAAATTGCTTTGATGCTAGGTGGGTTTCAACCCTGACCTGTCCTGACGGCAAGTGATGGCTGTAACAAGCTCTGGATCAATATTCATAGCGGGTGTCCTGGACTGATAACACTATCCAAGACAATGTTCACTATCTGTGTGGACAGCTGAGATATTGCACCATTAGCGATGTTGTTTTAAATAACCTGATCCATTTCTGGGTCTATTTAATTAATTTCACTGTTTAGATATTATCTGTAAGGAGAAGCCAGAGGCTATTCCAGAAGCAGTGATGCAAATCAGTGGTGCCAAGGCTACCCTGCTTTTTTTTTCAAAACAAAGTGGACTATAATTCCAACCCAGTTCCTTATATATTATGTGAATTGTGGCAGGCTATTTATAGTGTTAAGAACAAAAACTATCTGCATTGTATCAAGGGGAAAACAATATTATCGGTAAGGCTGGAACACAACTGATCAAATCTTACCCATGATTATAAAATAGTGAGGATTAGTCTAATTCTTTATGTGACAGGCTAGTGTTTTTTCAATTGTTTCTATGAGGTAATGGGATGTACTGTATGTAAAGGCACAAACTTTGTAAGGTACAGCTTAGTCTGTATTTTGGCTGGGTCAAAAAGGTCTTGCCAGGCTTTCTGCTACTTTTTTGATCAACACAGCCTCAGTTAAAGTAAATATGCTCTCTATGGGCCCCATTTTATACTTACATCAAATCTCTACTACACTGCAAAAATTTGCATGGTAGTATGCCTGCGCTGCAAATGCTGAGCTTAAAAAGCAGTCAGTATAAAAAATGGGATCTGAGCTGGCAATCCATATTTACACCAAGTCGTTCTACTGAATTCAGTGCACAGTGCCTCTGAAAATCAGGCCCGTTGTGCCTAAATCAGGCAAAAACTGAGGCCCCCAAAATTGGAGGGCACTTTTGAAAACCGGGGCCCTAATGTGAAGGTGACCATGTTTTCAAAATGAAAACCCAAGACACTTTTGTGCCAACATTTTCAGGGTCATGAAATACTCCCACAAAAGACAAACAAAACTACACTTTTAAAAAATAAGTGTGTGCCATTGTTACTACTGGCAGTGTCTGACTCAGTAGTGACGTATATTCCTTAGAATGGAGGATTTTTTTCCAGTAACTTAGTGTCCCAATGAGTTTATCATGAAACGTTGAAGAAGTGTTGTTAACATTTGCTCTGAGCAAAAGAGCAGCTTTCATAGTGTCAACATACTTTGGAATTTTCTCTTTATTCAAACACTCTTTATCATGCTGACCACTCATTCACTCAACTGTTTGTCACTGATAACCACTGATGCAAATTCTGTTCATTATAGCAATATGTCTATTTTATTCTGTTCTGTTCTATTCTGGTTCTTGTACTTTCCTCATCCCCGTAATATTGGAGCCCCTTCCAGTAATGCATTAAGCAACATAGCTAACATCTGTCACATGTGGTTTAATCTTTCTCTTATCAGTTTAATGGGCTTTCTTGTATACAGTCTCATCCCAGAAGCCAAGGAGTGAATAGGTATGGAGACTGTGACTCAGCTGCCTTCTTTTCCCTGGAGGTGGTCCCTTCACTAGAGAATTGAGGAACAGAGGTAGGGTAATGTGGAGAAGTTTCCACTGCAGCTTGCATTGTGGGGAGAAGTAGAGGATATCAGTTTCCAAGGGTGGCACTCTGCAACCTTCCATGAAAATAAGAAAATCAAGATAATATTATAAAGAATTTTAAATTGTTTCTCTTCTTGCCCTGCTTTTTTGCAGCCTTTTTAAATTACAGGCAGAGCACATAGCAATGCCTGTAGGTAAGGCTGCACAAGCCTTTCCACTCTGATGAGTCATTTTCAGGTGCCTGTAACTTACTCAGGCTGCTATTCTGAAGGTTTGATTTCAGCCCAGGAGTGATTTCTTTAAATGGAAGATTTGAATAAAAAGAGTTTCTGTTGAGATTCATGGCAGTTTTATCATTAATTTCATGAGGATGGGGATCAGGTTCTATGTCTGTGAGTGATCTGAAGTGTGACCATATAAGATATTCGCTTACTATGTGTTTGTTCAGTGCCTAGTACAAGCGGGCCCTCATCTTGGCTGGGGGCTGTAGATACTACTGTAAAATGACTTGTAAAGGGCTGGGTGAAGTGTGCTTGGTGGCGATGATGATTGCTAAGTGCAAGACCGTAGTATGATAGTAATTACTATTATTTATTATAAAAGACACAAATGAAGCAGATTGTGACCTGAAGTTGTGTGTAGAAGCTTACTTCAAGACAGCCACCGTGAGAATCTGTTTCTCCCCCTGCTCACTGTCATCACTAGCAGCGAATCAAAAATGCTGCCTGCCCATTAGTCCCCGTTCTACCTCCCTCTTGCCCCTCCACAACATATGCTGGGTGCCACACCTCCCACCATTCCACCCCCCCCAATGTATGCTGGGTGTCACACCCCATTCCACCCCCCTCCCCAAGGTATGCTGCGTGTCACACCCCATTCCACCCTTCCTCCCCAATGTATGCTGTCAAGAATTATAACATTCATAAACCAGTTGGAGAACACGTCAATCTCTCTGGTCACGCGATTACAGACATGAAAGTTGCAATATTACAACAAAAAAACTTCAAATCCAGACTCCAGCCAGAGACTGTTGAATTGGAATTCATTTGCAAATTGGATACAATTAATTTAGGCTTGAATAGAGACTGGGAGTGGCTAAGTCATTATGCAAGGTAACTTATTTCCCCTTGTTTTTTCCTACCCGGCCTCTCCTCAGATGTTCTTGTTAAACCCTGGATTTGTGCTGGAAATGGCCCACCTTGATTATCATACACATTGTAAGGAAAGTGGTCACTTTAGATAAGCTATTACCAGCAGGAGAGTGGGGTGGGGAGAGGTATTTTTTCATGCTTTGTGTGTATATAAAAAGATCTTCTACACTTTCCACAGTATGCATCTGATGAAGTGAGCTGTAGCTCACGAAAGCTTATGCTCAAATAAATTGGTTAGTCTCTAAGGTGCCACAAGTACTCCTTTTCTTTTTGCGAATACAGACTAACAGGGCTGTTACTCTGAAACCTGAATGTATGCTGGGTGGCACACCCTGTTCCAGCCCCCCATCCCAATGTATGCTGGGTGGCACACCCCGGTGCACCGCCCCGTCGCCCCCTCCCCAATGTATGTTTGGTGCCAATCCCGTTCCACCTTTCCCCCCCATGTATGCCCGCACTTCGTCTTCTTCTGCTCAAATTAACACCAATGAAAAACTACGTTTCCCAGCGGCCCTGGCGGAAGGAAGGGCTCTGGACTCGGCGGAGTTCAGCTGACCCCACGCCCCGGCCGCACGCCCCAGGCCGGGCTGTGCGCGCTATGGCAGAGTGGGCAAAGCAGCATGCGGGCATTACGGGAGTGGTGCTAGATATCAGTGGGGTCTTGTATGACGGTGGAGGAGACGGAGGCGGGGTTCCCATCCCGGGATCTAGAGAAGCGGTGGAAAAGTAAGTGCCCGCAGAGCTAGGGCGTTACACAGCCCCGGCGGCCGGCCCCCTCCTCCGCCCCACCCGGCGGTGCCCTGACCCGCCCCGCCTCCCGGGCACGCTGCGAAGGGGGCGCCGCCCCCTCCCTCCTTGCAGCTGTGTGGGGCCGCCCCCTTCTCGGCCGGCGCCAGGTTCAGCCAGGGGCCACGGCGTCCCGCCGGGCTCCTTCCTCGCGGTGCTTCCAGCCGCTCCCAGGAGAAGGGTCCAAACTACCGCGGGTTGGGAACCTGCGGTCCTAGCCCTGTGGGCAGGGGAAGGGACGCAGAGCTGCAGGCCTGGGAGAGAGCCCAGCGGGGCACGCCTGGGGGCCATACGCCGTGCCCCGTTGCCTGCCCCCTCTCCTGGGTGCCACACACTATGCCACACTTCAACCCCCCCCACTGTACGCTGGGTGCCACACGCCATTCCTCCTCCCCCATGTATGCTGGGTGCCACCTCCCCTGTCATGTATCCTGGGTGCCACACCCTGTTCCAACTCCCCCTCACACCTCTGCCATATACTCTGGGTGCCATACACCATTCCACATTGCCTGATGTGTATCCTGGGTACCACACATCACTTTACATTGCCCTCTGGATGCCATACACCATTTCACATTTCATCCTGCCACCCCGCCCCAAATGTACCCTGGTTGCCAATCACCACTCCACAGTTTCACCTCTCCGACTCCCGGGCCATGTATCCTGAGTACCAAACAGCATTTCACTTCTCCCTCATCTCATGTATACTGGGTGCAACACACTATTCCACATTTCACCTATCCCTGCTGCCATGTACACTGGGTGGCACACGCTATTTTACATTGTTTCCCACTACCTCCCCCGGTATGCTGGATGTTGTACACCATTCCCACATGCTCTCCCTTCCATCTGCTATGCATCTTCAGCCCTATGCAATGCTCCCTGTATGCTCTCCCCCTCCTGCCATTCACTCTTGCATTGCCTCCTCCCCTCCAAACCAGGCATCTAGGATGCCATATATCCATACATTCTGTTCTCCCCCACACCTGTTAATCACAATCAGATTGTGTGTTCACTCTGAATTTTTCCAAAGGGTCATCAACTGCAGTGGGGCTGGTGCTTCAAATGTTAGGACTTCAGCTAGTTGAGGACTGTGTTCTTCTGATTCAGAGCCATAACTTATAATCTATTCACTACCTTGTGCAGGCCTTTAAAGAATGAATTAGCACATACCTGCAATATCTTTTGAAAATCTTTGAATATCTTGTGAAATCTGTGCTAGATCTTCTAATTTTCTGTACTTATTTTCAAAATCTAGAGCTCTCATTAATGAGAGAACCTTTTTTTCTCTCATCAGCTCACACAGTGCACTGAACCACATTTTCCCAGCAACCACAAAGAATATCTGGGAGAATCTGTCTCCAAATAATTAACCTTCAGGGCATAAGACAACCTTTAAATATTGATCATTAGGAGGAAGCTTTCCCTGGAGGCAGGTTATTCCGTAACTGTTTTCTGTAGGGTTTCTCCTATCATCCCCTGAAGCAGATGGTACTGGCCACTGCTGGATTTGATGGATTATTGGTCTGATCCAGTAAGGCAATTCCTGTGTTCCTATAATGTCCATTTGTGTAGTATTCTTCTATCCAAAACGATTCACAAGTCTGCATGCATATATGCATACATATCCACTGAAATATAGAGGACGGCATCATGCTTGTACAACAATCAGGTGAAAGGAAACTTTCGCCAAGTTCAGTAGGTCAATCCCCATCTCTTATAAAAGGTGCTAAAAGCACATTCATGTAATTGGTGGAGCAGGGGAAGACAGAACCATAGTTTATAACAGTGGTTCTCAAACTTTTGTACTGGTGAACCTTTTCACATAGCAAGCCTCTGGGTGTGACCCCTCCTTATAAATTAAAAAACACATTTTTATATATTTAACACCATTATAAATTCTAGAGGCAAAGTGGGGTTTGGGGTGGAGGCTGATGGCTTGTGACCCCCCCCCCCCATGTAATAACCTTGCAACCCCCTGAGGGGCAGACCCCTGTCTGAGAACCTCTGGTTTATAAGGTCTTATGTGAAAGTCATTCTTGTGCCTCCACATCTTCAATACAATAAATTGAGTGGTGCTAAATCTCTCTCTGGTGGAATTACTGAGTGAATCCTGCCACATTTGGGACCTGTAATTTCAGGGATCCTGATCTTCCAGAAGTGATGCTTAGATCTCCAAGCCATCCCCACCCAGTAAAATTGGTCTTTGGTCTCTGTTGAGTTTTATTCTAAGACTCTGATCCAAAACTCTTTCAAGTGAAAGGGAGTCCTTCCATTGATTTCACTGGGGTTTGGACTGGGCTTTTTTTAGTTTTGTAAACCCTCACTCTGTGGCTAGATGGTTTGTCTGCAGAGGAGCAGCCCTCCCCTGACTGTTAGGCCGTATTATCTATATACTGAAAGTGTGGGTATGTTTTTAAAGCAAAACTTTAGCATTCTTTTTCTAAAAGAAGCAATTCAAACAGCTTTTCAGGAGGTGCCAGTGTACCTATAGCAACTAGTGCATTGTGCGTTGGTTTTCAGAGGCTCTGAGCATTGGCAGTTTACAACAGTGGCTCTCAACCTTTCCAGATTACTGTACCCCTTTCAGGAGTCTGATCTGTCTTGTGTACCCCCAAGTTTTACCTCTCTTAAAAACTATTTGCTTACAAAATCAGACAAAAATACGAAAGTGTCACAGCACACTATTACTGAAAAATTGCTTACTTTCTCATTGTTCCCATATAATTATAAAATAAATCAATTGGAATATAAGTATTGTACTTACATTTCAGTGTATAGTATGCAGAGCAGTATAAACAAGTTGTACGAAATATTCGTTTGTACTAACTAGGCTAGTGCTTTTTATGTAGCTTGCTGTAAAACTAGGCAAATATCTAGGTGAGTTGATGTATCCCCTGGAAGATGTCTCCATACCCCCAGGGGTACATAGCCTGGTTTAGAACCACTGAGCACTAGACTGGAACTCAGGAGACCTGAATTCTATTCCCAGTTCTGCTGCTAGAGTACTAGGTGACCTTGGCCAAGTCACTTCATTTTCCGGTGCCCCAATTTCCTCATCAGTAAAATGGAGATAATTTGCTTACCTCCTTTGTGAAGGCTTTGAAATCTATGGATGTAAAGTGCTACCAAAGAGCTAGATATTATTTATAATTACTGTTCTGTCATCAGGATGTATAGTGTCCAGGCATATACCCTTTTGCTTGATTATGCTACATGTTCCATGGTATTTAAAGAGTTACATTTTTTATTTGGCTCAAGTTAGTGGAATTATATCCAAAAATAAAGTAGGATCAGGGTAAAAAAATAGACTTTCCAGACCTCAAGTTTGTAGTCTTAAAAATTGAGTAAGATAGGAAAACAAACATGAAACTTTTGGTTTACCTTGACATTTTAAAAAATATTTGTTCAACCATGAGAGAATCTATTGAGTTTGAAGCTCTGCTTTCCTTGGGCTCCTAGCAAAAAATAGTAACCCAACCCCAGAGAAATACAGGCAGGTTAGATTCAGTTTCAGCTGATATTTACTTTAGTCACTATGTATATTACATCTAAAAATTGGAGGACAATGTAGCTGTGAACTCTAGTATGTTCAATCATTAATCAGTTGAAAAAAATTGCCTGCACTGGTAGGGTACTATCCCAAGTTGATGAACATAGCAGTCAAATTAGTTTATATTTTGCTCCAAAAAATTCAACCTGAGGCAGACACCAAGCATGGGAAATTTCAGCCCAAATGGTGAATAAGCAATTGAAAACAGCGTGTTATAGTAGTATTCTTCTATCCAAAACTTTTCACAAGTCTGCATGCATATATGCATACATATCCACTGAAATATAGAGGACGGCATCATGCTTGTACAACAATCAGGTGAAAGGAAACTTTCGCCAAGTTCAGTAGGTCAATCCCCATCTCTTATAAAAGGTGCTAAAAGCACGTTCATGTAATTGGTGGAGCAGGGGAGGACAGAACCATAGTTTATAACATAGGCTATTTTTAATAATAGAATTCACGACCTCTGTTATAAAACATGCAAATCAATACAAAAATTGTCAAAGTTACTGTACCTTCCCTTAATACATACCTATTGTTTAATTAGTGTTTGGGTGTTAGGGCAGCTTAAGGCAAACCCAGCAGTGACATGCAAGGAGTTTCTTTTTAATTGAATTTAAGGCTTGTGTAAGATGCCAGGCTGGGAGCCCAAAGACTAAAGTTGTCCATTTATACATGGAACAGGTATGTCTGAGCAGCATCAGTGCTAGTTTCCTCACACTGCCCTGCCAGTGTGTCTCAACTGTGTCCTGAAGGGACCATCACTTGAGTGGTGAGGGGATAGATCTATCTCCACTCCTAGGCAGTCATTGACCCTTGGTTGAGACAGCTGGCAATGGTGCAAATTATGGTGGTGGTTTTGTGTTATAGATATTGGTTCAGTAGAGATCGCCAGGTCGTCTTACATCAGGTCACTGGAGGGTCATCAACAAAGCAGCGGCAGGCACCATAACCCATGACGAGCCCCTGCAAGGAAATTTGCCGTTAAAGCTGTCACACTACACAATTGATTCAGCACCATGAGCTCTGGTTAGGATGCAGTTTGAACCCCTCTCCACCTGTGGGTTCATCTGCATTAGTAGTGGGATTCACACCTAAGGAAAGCAGGCCACTGTGTTGAATGAGCACATCTCCTGGGTGCCTTGTCCCTGCATCCTCCTTTGCCAGCACCATTTGCTTCCTGGGCCATACACTTCAGAAGAGCAGTGGTTAGTTTGAGCAGCTTTTGCTGCCCCCAAGTCAAACTTTCTTCCCTAGCTGGGGGAAGAGGGCATATTTTAGTTCTGTTGGTTGAAACGAATGAAGCCCTTCACCTTGAGGGGATCTCTAAACGTAAGTCACATGCATTACAACCACAGATACAGCAAAGTGAGTTCACGACAGGAGA